TTTTTTTCTTAAACCATATGCATTTTTATAATAAGGTGTATCTTTTTCAAGAATTCTTTAATATAAAATAAAATAGTTTGCATCAGCAATAAAGCTGATAAAACTGAAAAGCAGCACAACACATAGCAAAGTACAGTCAGTGAGTATATGTGCAATGTGCTAAGTAATCTTTAAACATTTTTAAAGCAAAGGAGATAACGGGGTCTGTCTCTAAATCTTCTTATGTGCCTTAGTGACACATCAGGGTGGACTTCAGTGTGTTGAAGCTATGGAGATCCCTGGAGTTATGGCAGTAAGATAGCAACAGTAAGGACCTTTATTTCAAGCCGTGAAAGAAATAATACATACGAATGCTATATTTTAAGTCTATTAGTAAAAATAAAAAAATACATAAAAATAGGGGAAAAGAGGCTTCTTGACTAATAAAACTAGTAAAAATGTCAACCTCATAGACATCTGAATTCCAAAAGCTCTTCTGGATTTTGCCATTTGTTGCAGATGAGTGGACCTCAATTAAAGTAACAGGGCTACACGGAGATGAAATTGTCTGCTCACTACAAGTTTGCTGCAGGATTAGACTCGTCATTTGAATTTCCAGATCCTCAACAGTACTATGTGTTCATAATGCGTGAAAGAAAATTTAACTGATCTAATAGAGGAAAGCCTTTTTATAGCACGGATTTCTGCGGAAAAAAAAATGTGATTTGTAATGCTGTCATATAACACACTGCACACAGGACAGAATTCCCGTGGACTTCACTGGTCTTTGGATCAGATCTTTGTTAAAAAAAAAAAAGAGGAATATCACACAAATGCAATATTTAATATCATATATTCTGCTTCAAACAGTGTAACTGAGTTCTATAGCTGCATGTTTATTATTATAGCATATATGCCCAGACAATAACACAATGAAAAACACAGGGGGAAATGTCATACATACTCCCACACACCTATACAAATATAATTTAATTTTTCTCTCTGTTTCACAGCAGACCTTTTATGGGAATCATTTTGCCTATTCTGTCTAAAAAAAAGGTAACATAAAAATGTTTGAAACAGAAATTTGTTTTGTTTAAATGAGTGTGTCCAGGCAGGACTGTCAGTACTTCTTTGCCTATGCATGCATACACGCACACACAATATATATTTTTGTATATCACAGACACAAAGCTTACTCCCTGCTAATTGGGAGCCTTTACTGCAGCTACATGGAGATGTTCTTCCTAATCTCCATTCACTTGTTGCACCTCTGCATGAAATGACTATGTATCTCTTAAATGTACTGTTTTATTAGCATCCCTTTGCACAACAGACATTCACACAACATTGCAAATTCGTGGAAGAAATGAACTCATTCCACCCTCTCCGTCTGCTTAGAGCCTTGCACAGTAGGGCTGGGCTCTATTCAGGGCCTCTGGGTCTGACTGCCATACAAGTAGTAACTAATAACAACAAACCATCAGAGACTGCTGAGCTTCAGCTGCTGTAAGGAGAAATAAATCCTGACCCATATTAGTCTGTACCCAGTTATATGTTTAAATCTATATGGGGGTACAGGGACTGATTAAGAACTCAGAGGCACTTTCTCATTCTGAAGCTGAATTTTCAGAGAATAATAGTAAGACTAAAATCTTTTGTGATTAGTGAAAAAGTGATCGAGATTTAAGAAACCCATCCAAGATTAAGAAACCAGAAATGTTTGTGAACAGTTTGCTCTTTTGTTTCCTCTTATTTGTTTTTCTTCTCCTTTTCTTCTTATTTTTCTTTTTTCCTTTTCTATCTTATTCTCTTTTTCTTTTTCCTTTCCTTTCCTTTCCTTTCCCTTCCTTTCCTTTCCTTTCCTTTCCTTCCCTTTCCTTTCCTTTCCTTTCCTTTCCCTTCCTTTCCTTTCCTTTCCTTTCCTTCCCTTTCCTTTCCTTTCCTTTCCTTTCCCTTCCTTTCCTTTCCTTTCCTTTCCTTCCCTTTCCTTTCCTTTCCTTTCCTTTCCCTTCCTTTCCTTTCCTTTCCTTTCCTTCCCTTTCCTTTCCTTTCCTTTCCTTTCCCTTCCTTTCCTTTCCTTTCCTTTCCTTCCCTTTCCTTTCCTTTCCTTTCCTTTCCCTTCCTTTCCTTTCCTTTCCTTTCCTCTTCTAAGAATCCCCATCTACACCTATTTGCACAGCTCTGGATCCACTCAGTTACGGGCTCGGACAAAGAGCGGGTCCCATGGGATGAAGGCTGCTGTCCCTAACCAGGAGCAGGATGTGTCCAGTGGGGCTGAGCAGTCGCACAACACTGGGATGGACACCACATTCCAGGCTGGATTGGCGATAGCCACGATAAAACGCCTGGCTGGCTCCGCCAGGCTGTTTCAGGTGGGTAACATTCCCAGGCAGCCGCCCTGCCAGGCAGAGGATGAGGCGGAGAGGAGCTGCCTGGTGGATACTCCGGGTTTGTGTGAAAAATTCTCAGGGAAAATTCTTTCTTTCTCTCTCAGGCCCCTAAACTCTTTGTGAATGGGGCCAGTGCAACATGTGGCCTTTCACCTCACCCAAGAACCACTGCCAGACAGCCACACTCAGAGAATTGTTTGTTAATAGTCCAATTAGATAATTGCCATCTTTCACTCCTTTTGCTCTACATTTCCCATAAAGGAATGAATAAGGAGAGCAGCATGAAGAGGGCTTCTGCCCTGCAAGGTGACAAGAAGGACTGGAGCATGCTCTTTGCACAAGGCCATTTGCTTGAATTGAATCATTGTAGCCTAATCAATGGTCTTATTGGATTACTGGCTGTTGCGGTTCTCAAAGATATTGTAGTGGAGACAATGAAATAGCTAGAGTAAAACTTTCTTCCCTGTTAGTGGATCACGCAGTAGAGATTTTTCCTGGGCTATCTCTCTCTCTCTCTCTCTCTCTCCCCCTCTTTCTCCCCCTCTCCCTTTCTCCCCCTCTCCCTTTCTCCCTCCTCCTGGATCTCCTGCACACAAAGCTGCTTTTTTTTTTTCTTTTTTTTTTTCAATGAGCAGCTCCGCGAATAGGTTCAGTGTTTGTGAAGGTGCAGAATTAGCACACATACATGCACATCCACACACACAGAGGGAGAGGCACAAAAAGCAAGTATCTGGACTCAAAAAAGGAGAGGTAGGAGTTTAAGATGGCTGTCTGGGGGGAGATGCATTAGGGAGCATTTTTGCTGGCCAAAATACCCTGCTTCTTTGGGTAGATTTTCTTAAAGGAAGAACTTTTTGTATGTGTGCGTGCTGTTGATCTGTTTGTTTGTTTGGAATTCAGGGTGGGTAGATTTCTTTCTTTCTTTCTTTTATCTTTTTCCTCCTACAACTGCATTTTTCCACCCCTTCCTAGCAGCTTTATTCAGATTTATTTGGCGTGCTTTGGAGAAAGCCACTATATAATCGGGAGGTCAAAGGCATACTGAAGAAAGTTAATAATGGCTGCTAATGGTGCTAACAATTCAGGGTGAATCTTGTCAAAAGTTTTTTTTTCCCCTCTCCCTCCCCCCCACCC